CACCACCGCATCAAATTAATTATATAAACATATAAGAGCACTTCAAACATGCATGGTACAGGAAATAAACAGAAGTATAGTTTGGTCCATCTAGCACAAAAATATTTATTTATACAATGCGAAGTACTAAATCTTTATGTATTACATAAAAAAAACTATGCACAAGAATTCCTTAATACTAGATAGACTGCATCAAATTGATAATGGACAACACGTACAACAGCACTTGAAGAAACTTGATTAACAAATTCTTCATGGAAGGATAATGGCTACAAGATATATTTTCCAATTCAGCAAGCCATAAAGGTAACAGTAGGACATCTCAATGCCAAGACAACAACAAAACAAATGTGCTCCACTAAACCTTCCATACCTGAAATCAAAATAGTTTAGTTAAATATCTACTCTCTTGAATGGATGATTTGTTCACTGCATCTATGAGCAAATGACAAGGAGCTTGGTTTGTTTAGGGTAATGGTCTCTCCAAGTTCAGACAAGCAATGTGCTTGCTGCACTGCAGCCGATAAAAGACAAACAATGTGATGCTCTCACCAATATAATCTGGTACATACAAAATGAGGTACCTATGATAAAAATAAAATACTTACTAGCAGAGGACTATGCAAATAGAAGAACAAGCAGAGTTGTTGATCCGATGGTCCATGAACAAGATAGCCACACCTCAATAGCCTCTAGAGGAAGAGATATAATACATTGATTAATGGCTTGTGTTAAAGTTTACTTGTTTTCATCTAGTGTTGTTTTTTTCCTTTATTTTTGGCACCATGTACATTCTAGAAGGTAGTAGCACTACCAGCTAGCTCCTAACTACTCACGCATCTCCCTTTGAGTGATTTGTTCAATGTTTCTCATGGAGACAGCAACATATGAAGCTGAATACCGTCGTGCATTCCCCTGCATGTATTTTGTCCAAGACTTCTGAAGTTTGGCCACCAACCATCATCAACCACTAGTAATACTCCTAGCTGCTACTGAGTACTGACAACTAGCCCGCCTCATCTCCTCCTCTACACATACATGGCTCTACTTGGGGCATGTTTGGCACACTCACGGCAGCTTCATGAGCTGTTGTGAGCTGTTTTATTTATCAAATACTCATTTCCAAAACAACTTCATGGGTGAAGTTGTTTTTCTCCTCCTCTCATAAAAACATGAGTTGGGATAAAGCTGAAAAAAGTAGCTTATCCCAGCTCTCTCCCTTATTTCTCTCTCTTATCCATGCATGAAGCTATTGGGGAATCTGTTTTGCCAAACAATTTTTCCAAAACAGCTCAGCTTCACTTACAAAGCTGCTCATGAAGCTGTTTATAAAAAAAACAGTTTTACTAGTGGAGATGAGCTGTGCCAAACGGGGCCCACATGTCATACAAACAAGATTAAATACATAGGTTCATATGTTTTGGCAAGAAATATGTAAGAAGATGATTGTAAGGCACTCAGTATTTTATGTTTGATACCCTGAAAGTGTTTGTGGATCCTATTAACTATTACCATCCAATCAAGAGAAGCCGTACGTGCGATGGTGAAATTGCTGGGAAAAAATTATCAGCCGTCCCGTATTGTCAACCAGCACGCGCCGGCACTAGAACCTAAGAAATAAAGTTCTTAATCATACATAAATACATACATGTTTCTCCTTTTCTTGAAAAGGACTTGAAATAAATACAGATAGTTGTCACTGTCGATCAAGACTGTTAATTTGTCGTTGTACTTCATGCGCACCATGTAGGTCAAATATATGTTTATTGTGTCATTACTAGTACATATAACCTCACACTAGATTGCGGAACACAATATATATATATATATATATATATATATATATATATATATATATATATATATATATATATATATATATATATATAATAAGGCCCGATTGAAACAACGAGTGACCATACTGATTATCTGTAGTCCTATAGACATCACATCACTCATGGTACAAATCCTAGGCCGATTGAAACAACGAATGACACATATTTGATTATCTGTAAAAGATTCATCTATGATTTCCAACTAAATGTGCATACATTTAACATGCAAGCGGCATGAGAGAGGTGAAAAAACAAATCTAAACAAGGCCCTATAGATATGTCACATGCATACAAATGCATCACGGAATTCAAGCAGCCTTAGATCTCGGTTGCTTCTGTTGACTTTATTGATTGAGATGTTGGGCTTGTTTTACGCGGAGGCCCCAGAAACTTGGTGTGTTGGGTTGTTTGTTTGTTATTTCTTTCACATCATAGTGCGTGTGGTATAGAGAAGGTGAGGAGGTGACATATGGCACTGTATAAATGCAGTTGGAACGAGCTAGTAGTACCTGTGGAGTAGTACGTAATAGTTTCTAGGCATGATGCTTGCTATATACATATCGATGAGACAGATCGCTCCTTCACTTCAATATTTGGATCCATACATGACGACAAGGTCTCAGGAAAAATAACTACAAAAGCATAAGCGGTGTACAGACGTAGTTCTGCTGGGCAATTCTTAGCTTGCTAAATTTCTCTTTAAAAATAAGTTTGCAACCGTTACCATATTTGGCCACCATTTGAACTCACAATCAGAGTTTTGGTAGTGTCCTGTCATACATGCCTCTTTAGTGTTTTTTTAAAACCTTAAGATTGACGAAATCACAAAAGTGTTTTATTGTGGACGGATACATTGCACATAACATTATATTGAAAGAATAGTGTTGTGAAATTCTAAAATAAATTTAGAAAAATATAGGTATCCATATCAATTTAAGTGCATGAACACGTGGGCAAGTTCCACCTAACCAGCTGATTTAAAATTGGGAGTTTTTTTTGTAATGCTGAAATTTAGCCTGACATGACCTATAATGGCTAGTGTTTTCTACATTAAATTGCATGCACACAACTGCCGCATATCAGTTGTCCAAAGCTACACAATTGTTGCATATAGGGCATGCTTGGTGTGAGGCCCAAAACATGTCGTTCTTCGGTAGAAAAAAAAGAGAGGGACTTAGGCTATCTCCAACAACAACATCTAAAATACAAGATCTATTTGTCCTTTAGGTAGTGTTATAGGCAAAAAATTCAATACATATTCGGCATTTTCTCCAACAATAAGACCCAAAAGATAATCCTTTCTACAAATGGGTTTTCAGGAGAGAGGATACCCATATTTAGGTTGTGCTTGTCAGACAACCAAAAATAGATCTCCCATATAGGTACTTTGTTGGAGGCTGATTTTAAATCTCTTACTACCTATTTTAGGTTTGGGTGGCCATATAAATTTCTGGTTGGAGACCGTCTTAAAAGGCCCAGTCCAGAAGAGTGACATGATCGCGTAGGTGTCCATCAAAGGTTTTGCCGTTTCATGAAAGGGACAGTCATGTGTAGGATAGGAAAGGTTAAAAGAGTCAAAAGAGAGCGTCCGGTTCATCGTCATCAGGAAACCAAGAGAGGGAATCATGCTGCTTACACTTCCTGTTTTAGTAAATAAAAAATAATGTATGCAGATTTTTTTTTTCAAAACACAGTGCAAATGGTGAGGCTCGTATACATGCTCGTACACTACCTTTATAAACACGTGCACATATATTCTACCCATATGAGTATCTCCGAAAGAATTGATTGATCAGCAGATCTCGAGATTAACGAAGTCACCACCAAGTGCCTTATTATTACCAAGCATATCGCCTACCACTGGAGAATAACATTATTAAATCCTAAAATAAATCCAAAAAAAATTCAAGCACCCGTGTCATATTGTTCCACCACTGCAATATCCAGGATATGCAAAGAATAAAAATGGTTTTAGTATTTAGTGGTTGACCAGGAAGTTGATGTGGGGCCAAAAGTTTGCTTTTTGACCCATTTTGCTCATATGGACAATCGTAGAGCTTGCCAAATGCTTTCCATTTGACTAATCATACGCTTTTATCAGAGTTCGGATGACAAAGTTAAGTAAGAGAATATTTGCTAATTTCAATTGAAGTTTTTATGTCCCATGTTCAAAGTGAACGTTTAGAACTGACAGTTGTAATCTAAATTAGTAAGAACATCTTTAAGAGTTCCCAAAACGGACTCCCAGTTTTTATATTGGCAAAGATTAAAAAAAGCATATCTCCAACAACTGCTTAACTCTTAATCTTTCTGTACCTAGGAAAATCAATCTAATCGTGTGGAAAGATATGCACGCGTATCAAATTAGTCAATCTAGAGGTGGAAGGACATGAGAAAGAATAAGGAGAAATGAGGGTTCATAATGTAAATGTACAAGAGAAAACTAAACTATAAAAATGGCTGGAGTGATTTGAAATGGTTCAGAATTTCTTATGTAAAATTGTCTTCTAAATTTTAAAATGAGATAATTAAAATGGTCGAAAAACAAAAATATATACTCCCTATTTTTTTAACGACTTAGAAAACTCACTGATTTACTTATTATTTTTTAAAACTAGTGGAGATGCAGCACGGCTACTTAAACTATTTTTAAAGGCCACATCAATGCCAAATGAAGCCCTAAGGCTATCTCCGACAATGGCATCCAAAATACAAGACTCATTTGATGTTTAGGTAGCGTTATAGGCAAAGAGTTGAATACATATTTTTTGTGTTATCCAATAATAGAACCCAAAAGAGAATCCTTTCTTCAAAATGGTTATAGGAGAGAGATGCTCATATTTGGGTCGTGCCTCTCCTGTCACTCAAAATATGTCTCTCGTATAGGTATTCTATTGGAGGTCGATATAGTACCATCGGATACCCATTTTGGATTTGGGTGCTGTACTCCCATGGAGATATCATAATTTTTTTTGAGGGGGAGATATCATAATATATTTGGTCTAGCCTTCCGATTACATGTAATTTTACTCCGCTTTTGCCAATTGTAATCAGAGAGGAGGCCCATGATTGATGATGAAAACAAAACAAAAACAAGCGGGCGGCCCACGAAACGACTATTGCCCTCGGAAAACCAAGAAGCGGAAAGGCCCTTGGAGCCCACAAATGCCATCATCAATAAACCTCTTCTCCCCTCCTTTCCGTCCCGCCGAAGCTGAACCCTCCTCTCCTCACCTCCCCTGCTGCCCGCGGCGGCGCGCCGAAGCAGGTGGCGGCGGCGCTGCAACCATCTCCGCTGTGACTCATCCGGGCTACGACCCACGTCAAGGTATCTATTCCCGCCGGCCGCCGTCGCCTACCCAACCCTTGTCCCTCGCCGCCGACTCCCAAACCCCACACTCGCCCTGAGCGCCGTCTCCGCCGCCTCTCGTCCCGGATGATTGCGCTTGATACGATTGTGCTTGTACAGCCTAACATATCATTTACGTGGATTGGCTGAAGGTGTTGCGAGTTGCATCCGTTGTAGTTGCGGCTCCCTCCGAATCCCCCAATCCATCACCGCCATGGCGTTCTGGGGTGAGCGTGCTGCCTTGTTTGCCAGGTTTAGTTTATTTCATCTGTTATCTGCTTGGCACGTGTCCGATTGATGGATGCAGGGGTGGAAGTGAAGCCCGGTAAGCCCTACACCCACACCCACCAGGCTGACCATGGCCGCCTCCGCATTTGCCAGGTTGTTTTTTTTTCCCTTCAAACTTGTCATTTGTCCAATCAGTGGCGGAGCTTGCATGTAAAATCCAGCAGGGGTTCAAAAATGAACTGCAATTGATAGATTGAGTATTTCCATCGGTTAGCTAGTTGATAGTGTGTACATTTAGTGGAGTTTGCAAGAACTGAGGGGGCTGTGGCCCATGTTGACCTCACTGAAGCACTGCCCCCATGTCCAATTAACGTGTGCCTTTTGCCCTTTCTTATTTCGTACTCCTATGCCCCATCTGTTATCCTGTCACCTGAGATACTTTGGTTTTGTTGACATGGGTATGTGTTCTCTTTGATTTCTATCTATCATGTTTCATAACAGAGGTCTTAAAATCAGGATGGTATATTCACATGTAATTGCTTTTGATTGTCTTCTGACGCAGAAATGTTTTCCAGTGACATTTGGTTACATGATGTGACCTTGATGTCTTGACCTCACTACATTAAGATCAATAAAAAAATTTATGTTTACACTGCATTAAACGAAGCTTGTTTAAACTAAAATTAAGATCAATATAAAATTTAGATTTACACTGCATTAAACGGAGCTGAATGCCTTGTTAGTTCCTTTTCATTTGGTTAGTACATGATACTGCAATTTACTATTTCTATCTCTATCTTGCTGCTGGGATTGAATGTACTTGGGAGGGATCAAAAGTTTAATTCTAAGCACCACCCTTTTTTTTGACAGTATTGAATGTGTTTTGTAACTAAATCTTTTAATTTTTACAGGCTACACTGGGCAATTGTGCTGCTGCTGCAAGGACAGTGCTGCAATGCAATGTTGGTAACAAGATTCCCATCAAACTTTGTAGTCTAAATCCGAAATTGGCTGAGACATGCCATCTAGAGATTGAGTTTGAGGAGGTCGATGATGTTGTCTTCTCAGTAATTGGCCAAAGTTCGATTCATCTCTCTGGATACTATGTCCGTGCAAGCAGCAGGTCTAATATGGGAGATGATGAATCGTATCCTTCTCGATAGTGTCATGTCTTTGTTTCAATTATGTAACTCTCAGACTGTGAAGTCATTCTTAACATGTAATTAGAGAATCTTATGGGGAAGATATTGGGCACTCCGACACTGATGAGGAGCATGATGCCAGTGAGGACAGCTATGAATCTGTCTTTATTGATGATCGTGAAGTTCCTGAGAAGTATGGATCTGATTCTATAGATGATAGTGATGATGAGTGCACCCTTCGACGCCGCCGCAAACAAAAAGGTAAAAGGTTGACCCATGAGGTTTTACTATTTGATATTTGTCTGGATCTGATCCTGCATATCGTCAAACCGCATTGTACCCACATTGAACCGGGATATTGTACTGTTGGTAGACTATCACTTAGATAGCTTCTGGCCTTGATGTGAATTTAACATTGACTTTGTTGTTATGTTCTTACTATTACCATTATACTTAGTTTCTTCTTTTATGTGTTATTATCTGTCTAGACAGCTTTCTTAAAGGGGTGATGCTAGAGTGTCCTATGGTGGTGCACATGCACCAGGGAGAAGAAAAAAATTCAATATCAACTAGCTCATTTCAACCATATAATACAATATGTTTTTAGATATTTACTAGATCCGCGCACAAGGATAGCTTATGCCTAGTTTCGCCCCTGCTTGCACGTTTATTCACATAAAACCATTGAACATTTTCATACGTTTAATGTACAGATATCTGCTCACAGTTCCATTTTCATGTTTTCTAACAAAGTTCCAATTTTGTGTAATTAGCTGTTGAAAAACCGACTCGAAAGGCTGAAAGACGGCGGCGCTTGAAGAAGCACCAAGTAGATAGCACCGATGACAATGATGATGATACTCCAGTCAAGAAGCCTGTTGTCAAGCGCAGTGCTAAAATATTTGATAGCGGTGATGATGACACTCCAGTCACGAAGCCTGTTGACAAGCGCAGTGCTCCTTCAATATTTGATAAAGGCAGTGATGAAGATGATAATGTACCTATATCTGTTGCATTGGGTAAGAAAGACAATGCTAAGGTTGCTGAGGAAACTGACCCTCGAAATCGACAGGCAAATGACGTCACCAAAAAAAAGATTATTGATGTTAAGAAAAGAAAACATTCTGCCATCAGTGAAGATCCTGCATTATCAATGTATATCTTTTGGTTCCTACTTAGGCTTTTATTTATTTCTCATATCTACGACCCACTGATCTATAACTAATAACATATCATGATCAGGGATACAACAGATGCTAATGCAACATCTGTTTCAAAACAAGGTGCTGAAATAAAAAAGAAATCAAAGAAAAAGACGAAAAATCAATCAGGGGAAAAGGATGAGAAGCAGTCCAATGTAAGAACATTGGAAGATGGGTTGATGGTAGAAGATCTATCAATAGGAAACATTGATGCAAAAGTGGCTTCTGATGGCTGCAAGGTAGCCGCTTTTAGTTCTTTCCAGAGAGTTCTGTTGGATATGCTTTTAGTTGCAAATTTCATATGAATGGGCTTGATAAAGTTCCCTCTATGATGACCTTTCTATCGTCAGTTTAACACAGATTTCTACTGACAAATGTATTGCTAGCAGTTACTTGATCATGCATGGCTTTACGGTCAATACACTAAGTTTTCAATTTCACAGGACTTGTGGGAAAAAGAAATGATGCCAGCTATTATGCTTTTTTCGTGCAGGTCTACATAAAATATGTTGGCATGTTGAAGAATGGGAAAATTGTTCAGTCTAATGTTAGTGAAAAGCCTTACAAGTTCAAGCTTGGTAATATATTTGCCAACATGGTCACTTTCATACTACATCTTGAACTTCTTAATATAAATATTAATGCTGTACCTTGTGCTGATTAAGGTGCTGGAAAAGTTATTCGTGGATGGGATGTTGGTATTCGTGGTAACCACCTCAGAGCTTGATTTTTTTTTCAAGTTCATTTGAGTTAGGGTTATGGATTATAATTTCATAATTTATTGTAGGTATGCGTGTTGGGGAGAAAAGAAAGCTTACAGTCCCACCTTCTATGCTGTACGCATTCTGACATCTTATTCTTTTTTTGTTGTATATACACATCGGAAGGGCGGGCCTGGTGCAAGCGGTAGAGTCTTACCGCCTGTGACCGGAAGGTCTCGGGTTCGAGTCGCGGTCTCCTCGCATTGCACAGGCGAGGGTAAGGCTTGCCACTAACACCCTTCCCTAGACCCCGCACAGCCCTTTTATATACACATCCCTCTAGAGAATCTGTATGAACACTTCATTTATATTGCTTATTGATGGTTTTGTATTCTGCAGCTCTGGTGGTAAATCAGTGGGAGAAGTACCTGAAAATTCTTCAGTCATATATGAAATCGAGTTAGTGAAAGTGAAATAGAGAAAAGTGTCAGGCTTTTGCATGTGCCCTATGTCAACATCTGCAACAGTTACAGGAATTTTGTTGATATGCAGATGACTCATGCTCATATTTTGCTTCCTTCTGGAAGAATTTCTATGCGGCGCTCTTGCCCCGCACCATAGGACATTTAGCAGTGGACTGCAGCGGATGCTTCTCTATGCATGCCTTGAGCAGAAAATTTTGTCAGTCTAGCAAATGTTACTACTTGGTCTTGCACTGCCTAGCTACTTTACTTTGTAATATGATAGTTGATTGGGTGAAGCACTATTGTGGTCTGGTAATTTGCCATAGTGCTTTGAATCATGTTTCTTTTGTCAATGATTCATTTAGTGGCGTAACAGTTTGATCAGGGTCTCTTAGACTTACGTGCCGCCTTGAATCTTAGAAGTCTTTCTTACTATAGAAGTGGATTTTTTTTCTTTCTTGTCATGTTCTGCATACATTGAACCTGCTTTGGTGTAGGCCCAGTGATTCTTGTTAATATTGTTGTAGGTGGCCTAGGTGCCCACCGTCATCCAGGTTTTGAACTTCGATAATGATACTGCATGGGCCGTCCTGTGTTGGACGCGGCTAACTGGACCTGTAGGACTGGCCCACAGCCTGCTCCCGGCCCGCATACAGAGCTCCTCATAAAAAAAACGAAATAAAATAGAGCGACATATCTTTCCTCCTTTCGCATTACTGCTACGGGCGCCTCCACCGCACCGCCGCCGTTAGCTCGCTTCTTCTCCGCCGTTGCGGCTATGAGCCTTTCCCCCCACTCCATGGAGGCCGCTCCCCCCACTCCATGGTGGCTCGAGCAAGTCTCCTCCCCTCCCCTCCATGGATCTAGCCACCCCTCCTATCTTCCCTCAAGTCTGGCGGCCTCCATGGCGTCCCCTCACCCCACCCTATGGCAGCCTGCGACCCTCCCCCACACCCCATCGGATCTGGCCCTCCCCTACCCCGGCCGACGGCGCCCTCCCCAGATCCGGCAGCGTTTCCTCTCCCTCAGCAGACTACGGGCATGGCGGGGGTGTGCAGGTGCGCACCATCCAGCGAGCCTGCGCCACCGCAATGCTCACCAGGTAGGCCATGGCCGCGCGACGATGTCGTGTTTCAAGTGTTTCTGGACGCTTTTTAGATATGTTGCAAGCCCATGTGTTTAAGTGTTTCAGTTGTTTCAGACGTATATTTTCAATTGTTTCGTGTGGATATTGTAAAAGTAGATCGGAATGTTGCATATATTGTAATGGTTGTACAAATATGATGCAAGAGTCTATCCTCAATATTTCATCTGTTTTTTACACGTATGTTGCAAGTGTTTCGGACGTATGTCTCAAGTGTTTCATCCGTCTTCTTTTTTGTATGTTGCAAATGTTGTATTTGGATGTTTCAAAAGTAGATCGAGACGTTGCACATGGTGCGATGGTGTTTCAAATGTATATTTTAAATGTTTCATCTGTTTTAGACGTATGTTGCAAATGTTTCATCTGGACGTTGCAAAAGTAGATGGGGGTGTTGCACGTCGTGGCCGGTGGCTGTCGCTGCTGCTAGGGCACAGCCGTGGGTCAACCTAGGGTTTCCCCGTGTAGGGCACGGGGTGGGCACGGGGCCGTGAGTCCCTGCAACGGACGCAAGCGCAGGTGCTGGGCAAGATGCGGGACACAGGGCGTGGGGTGGGATGCGGACGCGGGAGCAGCGCAGGTGTAGGAGGCGCATCTGGACGTGACCACGTTCAGACGTCCGGGCGCTAGGCCTCCGTTTGAACTTATGCCAAATTTGCCTCTGAAACTGTAGAGAAGAAACCCGCAAGCAGTAGGTTTACCCTCAACACATGGATAACAGTTCAAAAACGAACACAACATGGATAAGATCAGAAACTAAAGAGGCAGTCGTTTGCCACCTGTACAAATTCCAGCAGCATTATATGTTTTTGCTTCCAAAAAAACTGAGACTTTATCGTTTATGAAAAAAAAAGAGGTTTGGGCTTCCTATTTTGTTTTAAAGAATTGTGCGTCAATTTTGTGATTTTTGCATCTGAAACCTTCTTAAAACTTTGTTCTGTAGTTGCTCCACCTTGTATGCCTGTAGGGTTTCTAATTGTGGTTCCGTTACCTGGTGACTGTTGAGCCTGGCATACTCACATCACACCTCCAGTAGACCTTGTTCCATTGGTATAATTCATTTCAGTTCACAGGATTCTGGATTCTGTAGCAAAAACAACACCTAGTCGGCTATCCCAAAGCCGAACCTCTCTCTCCTTGCATAAGATAGAGAGGCCTTATTTCCTGGCACTTATTCAGAAACAACATATGAGCAAGTCCATAAGCCCAAATACGGAGGCATCATGCAGGACAGTGTGTTCGTCTGCCTCTTGAAATTGACAACTGTAGCTAGAAGCTCTAGGAAGGAGCGCCAAGGTAAGACGCCAGCCGCAGAATGTCGCAGAAGACTCCACCCGCAGTCACCTCTGCGCCCGCGCCTGGACCCCGCACGATCAGTGGCTGCTCCTTGTACCTCGAGGTGGTGAAGGCGATGATGTTGTCAGAGCCGGAGAGCTGCGCGAACGGGTGATCCCTTTTGTACCTACGTAGTTCCACCTGTCCCCTCTTGTTCACCGTGTCCACCACTCCAACGTAACGCAGGACCTTCAGAAGGAAAAAGGGAAGCTGAATCACCTCTGCTCAAGTAATGTTGGAAATATGCACCGAGAATGGATCCAACAAAGCAAAAGCTAGATCCCATGCATCACACAATCCAATTGTCATGTCCCGATAGAAATGTATCTGATCAGAGTCACGACATGGGAAACAGAGGTCTACTCACTTCGTCTGCAGCCTCAGCATCACTGCGTTGCCTGGCCCAGTCCTCATCAAAAGATGGTAGCTTCTGCATGAATTCATCTGCTGACGAGCATGACTGCGTGATAAAAAAACAAATTAGGAAGATTGAAATACAAGGCATTAGTTGCTAAGAGGAGAATAATCTTACTGCAAGTGCTTCTGGCACAAGGCTTTTCACAGGAATATCGGAAAGTTCAAGCCTCAAACCAGATTCCCTTGCAAGGATAATGACCTGCTCCGATGGGGGGGGGGGTAAAAGTATGAGTGACTAATGAAGAACAAGAAAAAAGAACTACATTAAATGTAAGTTTGGTTTGCTGTTTTTTGAAACCCTTACACACATAGTCAAGGCTAGGAATTTCGTTACGTGGTCAATCAAAAAGTGTAAAGATGAGGGCATAATGATCTTTTCTTCCTCACCTAGTATTGTAGTGTCCTGGAGACAAAACTACAAATTTGTAGGTGACCTATGGCGAAATCAAATATAATAGTGTCCTATAGGCAAAGCCAGTGTCGAAAATACACTTCCCCATTATCTTTGGTCATATCCTCAACGTTTTAGTTTTATGTGTTCTGTAAGGATTCTTGTTGGTGCATATACAGAAATAAAAAATTGTCCCGCTCAAAGAAAAAAGAAAAATAAATAAAAAGACCATCTAGTGTGCTGATAAATTGAAATACAGTGCCTGGTGTAAGAAAGAATAAGTATGATATTCAATAACCGTTTGACAGAAAACAGGGTCTACCTTTCGGGCAACATCAGTTCCAGATAGATCATCTCTTGGATCAGGTTCAGTGTATCCTGACTCTTTTGCTTCAGCAACAACATCACTAAACGTCTTTGTTCCTTTGAAATTGTTAAATATATAACTCAAAGTTCCACTGAAAAAACAACTCTTCGTATCAGCCATCAATAGAATGATACTGAATTTATTGAATAAAGAAGATCGTGGAGTTTCTATTCAAGCATTCCATGCAAACATTTACTATGGTTCACTTGTGGTTTACCAAAGTTGCAGAGTGGCACAGTAAAATTCTCCTGTAGCCTGGTCGGGAGCATACACACAAACCTGAAAATGCCCTCAATTCGCAGTATCTTATCACCCGTCTCCAGAAGACCTCGCAAGGTACTAATGATTGGGAGGCCAGCACCAACAGTTGCTTCATAAAAATAATGAGTGTATGAGGCACGCTGCAGAGTCCGTAATTTCAGGTACTGTATCCAAGAAAAAAGAAACATTTATTAATCAATAAACACTGCAGCAGCAAATGTGCATTCTGTATGGAATGTGCTTAAAATTTGACATCTTTATGTAACAAGCAAATAGATCTCAGTTAAGTGATTATGTCTTAAGATTCACAAATCACAGAAGTTTAATGTCTTCCAAGATTCACAAATAACGAGGTTTATGCCTTTAAGACTCTGGATTAGCCATGATCAGGTGATCAGTCATTGATGCAGTTAATGGGCACAAACTGACAGTCAATTAAAATACGGTCAGTGATCATTAAAACAACTATTTCACACAGAAAAAATATAAAAAGTTCCACTAGTCAAATAATTACCCGATCAAGTGGCCCAGAATTTGCTTTCTTATTCGGCGTGATGACATGAATACCCTTCTTTAACCAATCGTAATAATGGGATGCTACACTTGTATCCGCTGTGCAGTCCACCAAAACTTTGTTCGGAAATACGTGATTATCAGATAAATGATGGACAAAATTATCAATATCAGCTGGTTCCACTTCCTTTTGTAGAAGCTGTTTCCACTGGGTTAAGTCTATTCCCCTACAGAAAGACAAAAAGGAAAGTTTGTGAAATATTAAGGAAAACATAATTATTGTTAGAATAGGCGCCCTAATGGGCTGGCCTTGGGCCTAGCGCCTAGCCTATTAGGCTGGCTGCCTTAGGGGTTAAGATAGATAGATTACATTGATAAGGCAAGGATCACCGTTGATTGGGTGTTTCTATAAACCCTATTGATCCTTGCCTATATATTGTACCATGTACTGCTGCTAATCTATCAATCAATTCCCGAGACCTATTCGCTCTCATGGTATCAGCAGCCTAGGTTTAGGTCTCCTCTTCCGCCCACCCACGCCGCTGCTGGCCGGCCCCTCGCCCGCTGCGCCCGCCTCCGCCACAGTACACACGTGTTACGCCACCATGCCCTCCCCTCCAAAGAACCCCTGTGGCTGGGGACGATCTGGCCGCCTCCTCTGCCACCATCCAGGAAGACGCCGTCGCCCAACGCCTCGCCGCGGAGAAGGCCAACGAGGCTGCCGCCGCTGCTCAGCGTCTCGAGCACGAACGTCAGGCTACGTGATGCTTCCCTATCACGCGCCCTACAGGCCGAGGAGGAGGCCACAGCCGCGGCTAAGGATCGCGCCGCCGCCGCCCAGCGCGCTAGCGAGGCACTGGCGCGCGCTGCCAAGGAGCGGGCGGCCGCTGCTGCCGCCGTTGCTCCGGAACTTCAGCGCCGCCACCCGATCTTCGGGCTGCCATGCTGCATCACGAGGCCGTTGCCCTTCTGCAGCTCCATGCTCAGGCTGTTGCAGTCAGCAACATCCGGAACCACGTCACCAACATCCTCGACGTCGATTCCGGTAACTTCAACCGTTGGCGTGATCAGTTCCTTCTCATCCTCGGCAAGTTCTCCCTCCAGGATCACGTTCGAGAGGAACCTCCAGCCCCAATTCCTCCTAATTGGGCCCGGATGGACTGCGTCGTCAAGTCTTGGATCGTCGCCACGCTCACCGACGACCTTGGCGAGATCATCTCCGCCCAGGCCTCCACCGCTCGGCATGCCTGGCTTGCCGTCGAGTCGCAGTTCCTTGGCAATCGTGAGGCTCGCTCCATCCACCTCGAGACACGGTTTCGCAACCTCGTCTAGGGCGACCTCTCCACATCGACTCATCGCCGCAAGTGAAAAAGATGGTCGATGATCTCACGGCCCTTGGCGAGGTCGTCACCGATCGCACGCTCGTCCTCAACGTGATCCGCGGCCTCAACGAAGCGCCACCATGTTGGGACGCGCTTCGCCGAGCTCGACCGTTCCCCACCTTCCACGGAGGCTCGTGGCGACCTCATCCTCGAGGAACTCACCATGGAAACCCGCAAGGACGCACTTGCCACTGTGCTCGCCGCCTCCACCACTCCCAGCCCTGCCCCTGCGTCCTCCGGCACGGGCGCTGGTGGGCACTCCAAGCCGCCTAACAACCGTCGCAGCAAGCGCGGCGGTGGCGGCAAAGGCAACAGCGGCGGTGGCCCTCCTGGACAGGGGTCACGCACCACTGGTGGCGCGCCTAAGAAGAAGAAGAAAGCCGGCCGGGGGGGTGCCATGGCCCAGCGTCTACAACCCTCGGACCGGAACCATTCGAGATGTGGCTGGGGACCTCGCCCATCACCGCGGCACCCATCCCAGTGCTCTCCTCACTGCAGCAGCGCAAAGAAGCAGCACAACATCACGCGCAGCACGCCCTTGCTGTCCACCAGCAGGCCGCTGCCCTCCCTGCTCCTGATGGCACTGGACAGTGGGTCGCCCCCGGGTATTACAACCCGGTGGCCGGCCTCCCCTCTTGGGACCCGACGGCCCTCGCCTCCGCCTTTAGCACAACGTCGCTGACCCCTCCTACGTCCAACGAGTGGTACTTCGACTCAGGTGCTACTTCACATATGACATCTCAGTCCTCCTCTCTTTCACATGTTCTCCCACGGTACCCTACTCCTTCATCCATTGTTGTCGATAATGGCTCTCTTCTTCCTGTCACTGCCACTGGCTCTACAGAGTTGTCTCGTAATTTACGTCTTAATAATGTCCTTGTGTCGCCACAAATTATTAAGAATCTTTTCTCTGTTCGCCAATTTACTACCGACAATAATTGTCCTGTTGAGTTTGACCCCACTGGTTGTTCTGTGAAGGTTCTTCCATCTCGGACCGAGATCGTCAGGTGCAATAGCTCTGGGCCGCTATACCCTCTGCGCCTACCCCCAGCACACTCCCTTGTCGCCCAGGCTTCCTCCCTGCTGTGGCATCGGCGTCTTGGCCACCCCGGTCATGAGGCGTTGTTGAAGCTCACGTCTAGTGTCTCCTGTCATATTCAGGATTGCTCAGAGTTATGTCATGCTTGTTAGTTAGGGCGTCATGTTCGTTTGCCCTTTCATGAGTCCACCTCCCGTGCGTCTACCAAGTTTGATCTTATACATTGTGATTTATGGACCTCTCCAGTTGTCAGCATTTCTGGTTATAAATACTACTTGGTCATACTTGATGATTGCACTCATTATTTGTGGACGTTTCCTTTGCGGCTTAAATCTGACACTTTCAGCACGCTTGCTCACTTCATCGCTCACGCCTCCACCCAGTTTGGCGCCCGGGTCAAGGCTGTTCAGTGCGACAACGGGAAAGAGTTTGACAACTCTAGCTCCCGTCAATTTTTCCTCACTTAGGGCATCCACCTTCGCATGTCCTATCCCTACACATCGTCTCAAAACGGTAAAGCTGAACGCATTATTCGCTCCATCAATAATGTTGTTCGCTCACTGCTTTTTCAGGTGTCCATGCCTCCGTCCTACTGGGTAGAGGCCCTCTCTGACCATCATTCTCGCTCAACATATCGCCTACCAAGACTCTCATAGCTTTTCCACGCCGCACCTTGCCCTGTTCGGCAAGCCACCAGCATATGATCACCTACGAGTCTTCGGTTGCAAATGTTACCAAAACATGTCAGCTACTGCACCCCACAAACTCGCCCCTAGGCCTGTCCTGTGTGTCTTCCTAGGCTATTCCGCTCATCACAAAGGGTACCGCTGCCTTGACCTCTTCTCCAATAGAGTCATCGTCTCCCGGCACGTCATCTTCGATGAAACGACCTTTCCTTTTTGCCGAGCGCCATGCTCCCTAGCTCCAGGAGACCCTACAGTTCCTCTCGAGCGATACATCATCGAATTTCGTGCTCCCTCCTATTGGACCGATGCACAAGTTTTTGTCTCTGCGAGAACACCACCTAGCACCGGCTGATGTCTCCAGCGCCCTCGCCCGCCCCACCGCGATCGTGTTCGGGCGCCCTCTTGATGATGCCGATGATCCACGGCGCCGCGCTCTACATTCCACGGGCTGCGGGCGTCGGGGACACCTCTGCGCCACGCGCGCCATCAGATCAGCTCTCGCGCGCGCACGCTGCCACGACGTTGTTTCAACACGCTGGAGAGGCCTCGCGCTTACATCCCGCGCGCCTGCGCGGAGCACAGGACCCGCACTGGGTTCCCACCTCTCCGATCGGATCGGGCCTTCACGCATACCACTACACGCGTCGACCCGACCGCTGGCTCGCTGCTACCGGCCGCCCCTAACACCGCCGCTCCGGCATTTGCCTCGCACCGCCCACCCCCGCTACCTAAGGGCGCCGTTCTTTGTCATTCCGGTGATTTAACCAAAGACGCTATGAGCACGCGGTCGAAGAGCGGCTATCGGATGCCCGCCTCCTACCACGCGCCCCTCTCTGCGGTGCCCAAGACCTTTCAGAGCGCTCTCGGCCGACCCCAATTGGCGGCGGCTATGGAAGAACACATGGTCTCTTGCGAGAATCACACTTGGGACCTCGTGCCTCGACCTCCTCGAAGCCAACGTCCATCGCGGCAAGTGGATTTTCAAGCACAAGTTTCATCCGATGGCTCCCTTGAGCGGTACAAGGCACGTTGGGTTCTTCGTGGCTTTACCCAATGACACTGGTGTTGACTTTGATGAGACGTTCAGTCATGTGGTGAAGCCCGCTACTGCCCGCACGGTGCTCTCCTTGGCGCTCTCTCGCACCTGGCCCATCCACCAGCTAGATGTGAAGAACGCCTTCCTTCTTGGCAATCTGTCTGAGGTTGTGTATTGTTGCCAGCCACCGTCCGGGTTCAAGATCCGGCTCACCGGACTTTTTGTCTCCGCTCGAAGAAATCCCTTTACGGCCAAGCGAGCTCCTCGCGCGATGGTACAATGGATGGCCTCGTTCCTGCTGTCTATTGGGTTTGTTGAAGCCAAGTCAGACACCTCACTTTTTATTTACCAGCGTGGATTAGATACAGCCTACCTGTTGCTCTATGTGGATGACATTGTCCTCATAGCTTCCTCACCCGGTCTCCTTCGGCGGATTATCTCAGCGCTTCAGCAGGAGTTCGCCATGAAAGACCTCGGTGCATTGCATCACTTCCTTGGTATGCAGGTTCAGCGAAGTGGTGATGGCCTCCTCTCACAGCGACAGTATATGCTGGACATTCTGGAACGTGCAGGAATGACAGAGTGCAAGCCGTGCTCCACTCCAGTTGACACCAATCCGAAGTTTCTTTGCGGTGATGGGGCCTCGTATCCGATGCTACAGACTTCCGCATCCTTGCTGGAGCTCTCCAGTACCTGACGTTCACCCGCCCAGACATTGCATATGCAGTTTAGCAGGTCTGCCTCCACATGCATGATCCTCGTGAGCCTCACCTTGCTGCCCTGAAGAGGATTCTTCGCTACGTTCGAGGCACTCTTCACCTTGGTCTCCTGCTGCGACCGTCTACTTCGACTGATCTTGTCGTCTACACCGACATCGACCGGATGGTTGTCCGGACACTCGCAAGTCCACCTCAGCTATGCGGTGTTCCTTGGCGACAACCTTGTTTCTGGTCCTCAAGCGCCGTAAACACGTTGTCAAGATCCATCGGTCAAGCCGAGTATCGCTGCTGCTGTGGTACAACAGAGTTGCAGAGGCTACTTGGCTCGCTTGACTACTACGGAGCTGCATGCCCCCTCACGACACGCCACATTTGGTGTATTGTGACAACATCGGTGCCCGTCTACATGACCTCCAACCCGGTTCAAAGATCATCAGCGCACCAAGCACATTGAGATCGATCTTCACTTCGTCTCGGGAGCGAAAAGTGCGGGTTGGTGATCTTCGTGTTCGCATGTTCCCACCTCTTCGCAATATGCGGATATCTTTTCACCAAAGGGCTGCCTACTTCAGTTTTCACGGAGTTTAGATCCGATCTAAACGCGTGAGTGGTTGACGATTATTGATCATGGGCGTGTTAGAATAAGCGCCCTAATGGTTGGCCTTGGGTTGGCGCCTAAGTTGTTAGGTTTGTTGCCTTAGGGGTTAAGATAGATAGATTACATTGATAAGGCAAGGATCACCGTTGATTGGGTGTTTCTATAAACCCTATTGATCCTTGCCTATATATTGTACCCTGTACTGCTGCTAATCTATCAATCTTAACCCCTAAGGCAGCCAGCCTAACAGGCTAGGCGCCAGGCCCAAGGCCAGCCCATTAGGGAGCCTAGACCTATTCGCTCTCAATTATAGTAGCAAACCCCAGAAGAGCAATGTAAAGCTTTAGGTCAGGAAAAAAAATCAGTAAAACAAATATCCACTGCTGTTTGAATGACATGCAAAATTTCTTAATTTTTAACAAAATTATAAGCTGATTCCTTCCTTCCTATAATGCGCCTGATAATACAAAATTATTTGCAGCAAGTCAGCACAATCACAGAAGAGGAAACAAGGATTCAATTACATACGTGTCGCTCAAAAGCATTGTACTTGAGCCAGTTATTCCAATGACACGCAGATCAATGTTCATATTTTCCTTGAGAACAGCAGCCTGCGAAAGATCTAAATCAATACAACTGCAAATTTCTGGTTTAAATGAACTCTGAAAGTCCTTCAAAGAAATGACTGGATGCTGTTTATGAAATTACAAGGCTGAAGATACCTGATCCTTCAGCTGGTTAAGGAGTGTTCCACCAATTAAACCAGGTCCAACGATCCCAACAGCAAGTGTAGTTTTGGAGAGGAAAAACCTTGAGTGAACAGCTCTCAGAGCCCTTACACAATCTTCTTGCTTCAATACAACAGTAATATTGTATTCACTGCAACCTTGAGCTATTGCTCGAACATTAATGTTTGCCTGAATCCGTTATAATAGGTTAATAAGTCCCAGCATCAATGGAACTCCCATTTCACCAAACCAAGAATGCAAAATACCTTTGCTAACGCATCAAAAAGTATTGCACTGACTCCAGGAGTGCTAGCCATCCTCAGACCAACAGCAGCAAGAATGCTGCAACCATTAATAACTTCAACCTGAAATGAATTGTTTGCATAAAAAATAGAAGTAATCCAATGCATACAACAAAGACTTTGCTATACATTCACATCACAACTCATTAAGCTACTTCCCTTGCTAATAATATCACAAATCTGTAAACTGCAAATAGGGAAAGGAAAATGCAGGAACAAAGTACATTTGAGAGGTGTTCTATTATCTTTCATTTTGTTGCTGGGTTTTTGGAGGTGGTCTTTAATCTAAAGTCATGGTACCGACGAAGAATGGAATGAAATTTATCTTCAATTTATTCTTTCTTGTGACCATGATATCGATTTAGCATCTTATTGTTCACTTGCATATAATATAACATTTGGGATGATGCTACTGCTTGGACAGGTGTGTCAATCCGAGTCATGTTTCGCCAGATGAGCAAGCTTCATACGTTTAGACTGGAAATAACATTATTCCGTTCTGAAAACTAACATGATTCGCTCGAATAATGTCAAAGGCCTTGTTTGGCACAGCTTATTCCTCAGTTTCTCCACAAATTAAGCAGAAGCTGTGCTGAACACCAGGATCCTGCAGCAGCTTAATAAGCAGAATCTGTGTTTGACTAGCTTTTCCAGTTGCAGATTATGCACAATAACAGGCTTTGTCAAACAAGGTCATTTAAGTCATGTTTGCTGATTCGAGTATTTAAAATAATCGCTGTAGAAGATGAGAATTACCTTAGATAACCTCCCTGCTGCTAATGCCTCACGAAACCTAACATGTAAGGCAGCAGAAACCGCAGCAACTTCCTTTTCTGGAACAGCAAAGCATACTGAATGTTCACTGCTAGCCTGCATGATATTTGCAATGAGGAAGAACCAAGATGAATCATATGTACATAGCAAGATAAATGGACATTATCTACCTGAGATATCATGATAACATTAGCTCCAACATCTTTAACAGCACTAAATATAGCACTTGCTGTACCTGGAACACCAGCCATTCCAGTTCTGCAGTGAAGAATTGTACAATAGAATATTAGGAAATACAAGAAATACCTTTTCAGAGTCACACAGTCAATAGTTAAGCCATTTTGTGTGTAGTTAGTTAACATTGCTACATCAGCCAAAAGCAGCATCTAGCGTAGATGTCTCTATTGGACATGGCAACCAATTTCTATTGAAAGCCACATACAGAAGATCATGGAAGTTCAGTTTCACAAGGTTAATTGCTAAAAGCATAAATAATCAGTTGTATAGAACTTGGAGGTTTAAAATAATAAATTATGATAGCTTACCCTTCAACATTAACAAGTGCTAAATTATCGATGGTAGCAAATGATTTGACACATGCGTCTAAATCACCATTTTCATTGGCAGGCTGCTTGCAAATCATGGTTCCAGGGGCAGAGAGATTGAACATGCTCCTAATAACAATGGGAATGTTGTCTTTCATCACAGGTATAATGGTGCGCGGATGCAAAACATTCGCCCCAAAATATGACTGCATACAATAAGTAAATCAATGAGACTTAATGTGGTAGGGATATAATAGCTTGGAATGCAAAGAAAGAATGATCATAGAGCATAATTGCATAAAACATGTTGTGCCCCATTGTTCAAATGTAGTTAAATGATGAATGACTTGCATATGAACAACAGTCCCAAGAATAGAGAAAATACCATTTCCCAGGCCTCCTGGTAAGACAAAGTGCTTAAGATCACAGCCTCACTAACTGCATTAGTCAGATGCTTATAAATCAGATATATAATTAACTCATTGATACAAGAGAAGGACATTGCCCTGTTTTAATAAAGAACTAGACAAAGCCAACATGTTTGCTTTCCAATATACATAATGTGGTTAATGATTTTCTGGATAATTGAAGTTTAAATGTTTCATTGGAAGATATATTTGCACCTACATCAAAATGGAGAGATCAAAGTACTTGGAGGCTTTCATCAGCACATCCAGTTGATAAGTACTTGGAGAGAATACACTCAATACCATGAGTGGCAGTATTAACAAATAATTACTGTTGCAAGTTTCTAGTTAAGTACATAAATCACACTATCACAGGATTTTAGTTAAGCAATGTCAACCGTATTATGGCAAAAAAAGTATTATTGTGCTTCTAACCCTTCACATGAACTGTTTGACATATGGATAGACAAGAATTAAAGGGATGAGTAGGCACCCTAATCCATGTGACACTTGCAACTCTTTGATCTGATCTATCAAAATCTCATCCAACAGGTGATGCAAGGGTTAGCACCCAAACATGAATTTGCACTATATGCATCCCCTAAATCAATTATGTGTATGCCAATGCCAACATCAGCAGTTTAAAATGGATCAGAAACAGTCAAAAAGCAAATTATGACTCTCTTAGGACAAACCTTTTCTAGGATCAGCGCTAAATACCCCGTCAACATCAGTCCAAATAGTGACCTGGCGTGCCCTGACAAGAGAACCAATTATGGCTGCTGAGAAATCACTTCCATCCCTTTTTAGAGTTGTAGGAATGTTTTCAGCTGTACTTGCAATAAACCCTGTAGCAACTATTATCTCAGCTGGTTGCCGAGAAAACCATTTCTGAAGTCGCTTCTCAGATTCCAAATAATCAGGGTCTACTTGATTAGAACCACTGGGTTTTACAACTAGAACTTCTCTTGTATCCATCCAACTGCAGGGTGCCCCAGACTGCATGGTTTAAATACTGCAGTGTAGGTCAGTTTGTAAAGAAAGGTAAACACTGGATCAAAATACCGGTATCCTGTAACTGTAACAAAGGAATGGAAGTACAACTCGTAGTTGTAAATGTTTATGAAAGACACACACATGTCTAATGGGTAGCATTGTTACTATAAATACTCCTTCAATTCCAAAATGTAAGGTGTTTTAGTTTTGTCCTAAGTCAAACTTCTCAAACTTTAACCAAGTTTATAACAAAATGCATCAACACCCACAACTATATGGCACTTGGATTAAATTCCTATCCAACTATATTTAAAACTCTAAATTATGGCACTTGGAGAAAGCAGGAGCGATGAATTCACTGCTCCTGTCAATAGATTCAGTGATGATCAATTTGCATCATCAGAGTACCCAACTATATCAGCACATGGTTACAAATGTTGCTGACATGCCAATTCTACGATATTGGAGTGGATGAGCTCGCTGCAGCCTTAGTAAGTTGTTCAAATTGCAGATAACTATTAGGTTGTCTAGCTTTTCCCATGTGTACCTTCTTTATTGCATATGACAGCATCTGCGCAGACCACAACTCTCCATGCCCAACAACAAAGTCAGAGAAAGATTCTGTCGCATGCCCAACTGCAAACATATATAAATAAATATTAAATTGACGGGCATCTAGCAGACTGCAGATATCATGAAGTCAAGTTTTCCAAAATCCATGATAGCTAAAATAACAAACAAGTAAGAATTCAACAAGCTGAAAAATATACTTCCAGACCTGAGAAACAAAATTTGTTACTCAAGAATAGAAGAACATGAGATGTGGAGAAATTAGCAGCTCAAACCTATATAAATAGCACGGAGCATGGCTCGCAAGTTGCTGACGTCTGAGTGCAACTGAGACAAGAATCTTGCAAGATCTTCTCCATCAAGGAGATACTTTGCTGCAGCCATATGCTTCTCGAAAACTTCGTCCAATGCTATTGTATATGAATCATCCCTTGACTGAGCCTTCTGTACAAGGTTGTACATCATGTCGGTTACTTTGGACATTGCTGAAACAATTATCAGCTTCCTCTCAGAAGAATCACCAAGAACTATATCTGCGACACTCTGGATTCTTTGGGGTGTTCCCATACAGGTTCCACCAAACTTGTGCATAGACCACATATCACCTTTTGGAAGATAAGTATTGACTTCATCTTGTTCAACTGAAATAGCTGCTGCAAGCAAAAGGCACATATGTAAACAAAAGTGACAAATCTTTGATAGCAATAAGTTCAGGGTGAGAAAAGGCTAGTATTTTCAGGGTGAAGCAAGGTTAGCATGGGATTCTGCTAAGAATAAGATATTCAAACATTGGATGATGGAAGGTAGAACTACCAGCAGCTGGTCTGAGCAAATTTGTTGAGCGATGTCTGTGCAAACTTCCTTGAGACTGACTTATCCTGAAGAACAGAGAAAGAGAGAAAAGAGGAATATCAAGGTTTTTTTTGCAAGGCAATGTAAAGTATAAGTGGTAGCGCTAGCGCTCGCCCCCGCGTCGCCCCTCTCGGGCGGCTCGGGCGGAAACTCAACCCCGGCCGCCGGGGCCCCTCTCCCTCCTTCCCTCCACCTCGCCGTCGCCGGAGCACGCCTCCAGGAGCCGGCTGCAAGAATGGTGGCGGCAAGGCTCCTTACCATCTCCCACCTCCTCATGGCCGACCCTCACAGAGCTTCATCATGGTGGCGGCCAACTCCTCCAGAGGCGGCTTCGGCGGGGCTCCAGCTAGATCCGGCGGTGTGGTGGCCGGATCCGGTTGCCCGATGGCCGGATCTAGCCGGCCGGCGCTTGGGCGACCGCGGGCTGGCGCGACACTGGCGCTCGGACTCGACTCTGGTGGTCTCGTCGACGACTGGCCCGGGGCTGCGGCGTCCGTGCGGTTGGGCCCCATGGTGACCTCGTGCGTCGACCCTCCGGTTGCGTGCATCAGGCTCCTGGCAGCCTACGCCCTCCCCTCCCGGATAAGGCCGACTACGGGGTGCCGGGCTCACGCCGGCATGGGCTGGCGGCCGGATCTGCCTGGCCCGGGACTGGGGCTTTCTGCATCCTTCCTCAGCCGGGCTCCGGAAGGTCGCAACAGGCGGTGGTTGGGTGAAAGCCTGGACGGCGACGTTTGCGGACGCCGCTACCTCCTTGGAGGCGTCCTCTTCGTTCCTCTTCCCTCGCCCTGCTGGCGCGGATACTTGCCGGTGTGCGCCTCCCACCATCGCAAGCGAGTCTGGGACGGCTCTGCGTGGTGTGGCGGCGGTCGGCACCCCCCTCCGTCCGGGCGCGGACGCTTGCCGGTGCGCGCCTCCCACTGTCGCGGGCGAGTCCGGGAACGGCTCCGTGCGGGGTGGCGGCGGTGGCCAGCACCCCCCCTGTCTGGGCGCGAACGCTTGCCGGTGCGCGTCTCCCACTGTCGCGGGCGAGTCTGGAAACGGCTCCGTGCGGTGTGGCGGCGGCCGACACACCCCTCCATCCAGGCGGTGCGCGCCTCCCATCGTCGTGGGCGAGTTCGGGAACGGCTCCGCGCGGTGTGGTGGCGGCCGCCACCTCCCCCCTCTCCATGCGTGGACACTTGCCGGTGCGCGCCTCCCACCACGCGGGCGAGTCCAGGAACGGCTCCACATTGTGTGGCGGTGGCCGGCACCCTCCCTTTCTCCGTCCAGGCGTGGACGCTTGCCGGTGCGTGCCTCGCATTGTCGCGGGCGACTCGGGGAATGGCTCCACGCGGTGTGGCGGCAGCCGGCATCACCCACCTCCCTTCGTCCAGGCGTGGACGCTTGCCAGTGCGCGCCTCCCACTGCCGCGGGCGAGTCTGGAAACGGCTCCGCGCAGTGTGGCGGCGGCCGGCACCCCCTCCGTCGCGGTGCAGCTACCCCTCGGCACAAGGCTCGAGTGAAAACCTCGCTAGGCTCCTGCTTGGCTGACGATGATTACGTGTTGGCGTCATTCACCTCACTGGAGGCATCGTCCAAGAGCTCCTATGTCTTGTGGTAGTTCACTAGTTTATTTGTGGTTTATGCCACTCCTCGCCCTGGTGCTTGGGCGCTGTTGTTGTTGTTTTCCTCTTCCTCAATGTTGTAAAACATAAAACGAGCCGATTTGGGGCTATATTAATATACATTCAGGTGGGGAGTAATCCGCCCTGGTGACATTCAAAAAAAATTTGACATGATCCGGTAGAACACAATGAATAATTTATTAGTGGACAAGCACAAAACACTACCTTAGGGAGCCTCCCAGATATTGGTCTTGACTTAATTCATACTTCCAACATTGTAAAACTGCTTCCCTGTAAATCAGCATAACATTGAAATAATGCATAAAATGATTGAAAGGATGGCAGATGATACTCGGATATGATGCATTTTGTTTTTAAGGAATGTGATATTAGATGGGACAAACTCCTGTAAATCTTGCAAGGAAAAAAGAGTAACAAAAGAGTGCAGACTGTCAAATCCAACAACGTGTAACCTGAAACCAGTATATGATGCAAGTTTGTGCATCCATGCTCCCCATTTTTGTGGAAGGCGAACAGTACAAGCAGACAATTCTAAATACATAGCTCATGGTTCATAACTTTCCATTTAAATGTCACGCAGATCAAATCCATCGATGGATTTTCCATTTAGTAGCTCCAGAAAATTTGAGGGGCCAGCCAAGGCCAACTCGTATAGCACGAATAGCATCAAATTTCTGATACACCTATGAAGTGCATAAGAGAGCCAGTATAGCACGGGTGGTAGATATAAGGTACACAGAAATTGCAACTTAACGTCGCTCCCAAGAGCCAGTTTACTAATCCCAACAAGGCAACAAATCAGGAAGAGCAGTAATCTCGTGATCGGGTTCAGCAGCACCAACAAAAGGAGACCATATCCATCAGATTCCCAACATTGGAAGCCCCAAATTAGGCATAAAAAACCCATCCCCACCCCCAAGTAAGACGAAACTAACTGCAGCCACGACTGTCTCACTAGTATTCGCCGCCTGATACCTTCGCCTCCTCCGGCGCTCGAAGGCCCCCGCGCGATCAGAATCAAGGCCGCTACCATGACGGCGGAAACCCACCACGCCAACTTGCAATGCGACCACGAACTCTCGAGCGGGAGCCACTCGTACCACGCACGGCCGTACTAGCCTCACCGAAACAACCTCAGAGGAGGCGGCAAATGTGGGGAGATGGCTGGTCCTTACCTGGTAGAGGAGGACGCGCGCGGTCGCCGACGAGCTGCGGCCGCGGCGGGAGGAAGCAGGCTTGCTACGGCGAGGCCCTGCATCTCGCTCGCGGCGACGGCGAGGGCCGAGAGAACAGGAGGGGAGAGGGAGAGGAACGGAATGCAACGCCGGGTCGCAAGTTCGCAGCAGAAAAGGGACTGCTAGTCTTCTTTTACCCCCACGCCCACAGGGCCTGCTGCCTGCCTGCTGCGGCAGTGCGCCCCGGCTTTTGACGTTGTCGATTGGCAAATTTGGCTTTTTGGCCACTTCTGGACGTCAGTCAGGGTGATAGTCATTAAAAACTCATTAGCTGTCTCCCACATGGTGCAAGTAAACAAATGTTTGTGTTCGTTCATAAATCATAATAGATTGTGAATTATGATTCTTGTGTATATATATTTTGTAAGGTACTGGAAGTTTGTTCAGAAAAAAAATGCTTATAAGTGTCATATGGGTGTAGCAACATTCAAACCAGTTGCTCAGTTAATAAACATATAATGATTTACTTATGGGAAAGCAAACATCTTAGTACATCATAGCGGACGTCCCCTCTCCTCCGATATTTCTAAAAGCCTACTTCAGTCCTGTTTGGATACATAGGAATAATTGTTAGCTAGCTAGTTTTTAACCTAAATTATTGTTCCAGCCCATCCAAATGAGGCTAATAAATGGGCAATTTGTTAGCTTAGCATACAATTAGTTGTTAGCCAACTAGTTTGCCAACTCTAACTAATTTGAGTTCATTTTTAGCAACTAGTGATAGCTGATCTAAACATGTCCTTTGTTTTATACTCAGTAATTATTATAATTATTCATGTTGTATCCTTGAAAAAACAACGTAGTTATACTATATTTGTGTAGATGGTATGCGTTAGTACTTTTTATTTCCCATGTTCATGGAGTGTTCTAGTTGTTTTTTCAGTCATGATTAATTTGTAGTATAGTTAGGAAGCTCGCTCGTGAGTGGTGTGCGTGACGGGGTGTTTTAAAAATTTTGTGGGTGGAGTTGTTAATTTGTTTATTTAGTGGATTGTCCCCGCCTCTTGTCTCCTCATGACCAAAGGGACACTAGGCCCCTTCTCCCAACTCTCTTTTTTCTCGCTCGTTCCCGTCGCCCATGTTCTTCGTCACCAGGTTGCAACCGCCCCGAGCCCTAGCAGGTTGGCGGCCGCAGCCGAAAGTGTAGGTGCCAGCATCCAACCATTCCAGGTAGTTGGATCTCATCCCCTAAATCCCACCTCTAATCGTTAGCCCTGCTCCTAATCCCTCCTATATTTGTGCTTCAGTTTCCATGGTGAGCCCTAGTTTGACGGGACGCTTCGACGTCGAGACAGGTGCTGCTCGCTCTCATTGTGTTTGCAGAATGCAAGTCACGTAAGGTGAAGGCACTATGAGCAAAGACACTTGAGAATTATGTTCATTACTTCTACATCTGTCCAAGCAGGTAGGTGAGTTGCTTTTTTGAGGAAGTCTGTCGATTTGTTCCTGATTTTGGTCAAAATTGGTTTGATGGGACGAATTTTATTGAATTTTTGTTCAGTGTTAAAGAAGTGGGTGAGATTTTTTGTATTAGGAGGATGACTATGAGTAGTTCTTGATTAAGAATGGATACTTGCTAGCTAGTTATGTACTTGCATTTTCTGGTCCTTCTCAGAGTCATATGGAAATGAAGATGGTTATTAAAGATGGTTAGTTGGTTAGGAAGAAGGAAGCATGTCAAGTTTAGGAGGAGAAGATGGTTGACAATCGGAGCATGTTGGCTGATAGTATTAGGGATGTCGTGATGTTATTCAAAGTTATCATGCTGTTACTAAAAGTTGTTGTAGGTTCTTGTTTCTGTCACCATGAAAGCCCTTGCTCTGCTATCATATGAGGCATACAGAGACCATGGGCAGCCTTCAGCACAATGTGCCCTCACCCTCCTCTTATCATTCCTTGGCATTTTGATGTCTATCCTATTCTTCATTGAGTACTCAATGACATCGTTCCTCACTATGTCCACTGATTCAAAGATCATCCCAACTTTAAAACAAGGATTGCTAATGTCTTCTGCCTTGAAACTTGTAAACTTCAAGTTGATTCTCCCTGCTGAATCTTCATCACTCATGTCCATCACATCTTCATCAAGTGAGCCATCTTCCTCATCATCTGGAGTACCTACTACTCTTTGACCCTTCAACCTACTACCTCTGGTCATCTTGCACCTTCCTAAGAACCCATCTTCACCCACATCAGCATAAAGATCCTCACCTCCATCATTAGGATCATTATCACTATCAAACAAGTCTTCCACCTCAGAGTCTTCACTAGTATCACTTAAGATCTCAACCTCAACAGAAGTTTGTGGCAAATTCTTGTAAAATTTAGGTAACTCCACACCTCGTTTGCTCTCTGTGTGTTGGGCCTTCATAGGGCTAATCACCTTTGGCATCTTTGCCACTAGGTTGGCTACTATATCATCCCAAGTGGCAGATGCAACAATGTCTTCATAGTCAATGTACACAAATAATGTCTTGACCCTATCCACAACAGTACACATCACATTGGTGTCTTCATCAGTTGATATAATTCTCATTCCATTAATTAAATTCTTGCCTGGTGTAGCAAGTATATCTTGAGCAGGCTAGAAATTGTGTAACCATGTTGAGCAATGAAATCATCAAATGATAATAGGGACCAGGTGTCCACTTCGCAGCGATCAAACCAACTAATCTGCCCATCCAAACAAGTCCTCAAGTTACCAACACCAAAAAAACCACCATGGTGAAGTTCTACTAACTCGCTAGCACAACTACCTATAATGCATCCAACATATCATCAAGTGAGCCATTGCACTATGCACTAAGCCTCAACTAATTCTAGAGGGTGACATCGAGTGAGAAAATCCCAACCCAACAAGAAACCCCTAATCCAACCTTGTCCCACCATTACTACAGATAGGTTATCATAGTCGGTTCATAACCCCCCATCATGGCCAGTTTTGGCCCTCGACAGTGAACCATCA